GTTCCTAATTCTTATCAAAAGATCATGGTTGGTTCATGGAACCTCCATTCCTCCCATATGTAACATAGGCCTAATAAATTCACATCTGTCCGAACAGCTAATACTGACCGATGTCCGTGAACTGCACTGGAGGACCGTTGTCCACTATCTCATTAAAGATGGTCTCGGCCAGCTTCTTGTCAATGTTCTTCAATTTCAGGGAAGACAATTCCTTTCTTACAGGACGGCCCCCTGGGTTCTGTGTACAAAAGATATACCTGTTCAGACTTTGAAGAAACTTCTAAACTTGGTAAATATCCACAGATAAGGCTTATGTTTACATGCCTTTCTACACTTATCAAACTCAACAAATCTCTACCAAAAGGGTTTGTTAATGTTGCCTGCCAGTTACTATAGAACTTTGAAAAGATCTTATTGATCACGTACCTGCTGTGAGTGCTGCCTTTGGTGTGAGAACTTGCGTGCCGGGGAGGAAGTTGCAGAGGAAGACCCTCCCGTACTGGAGGGACGACTGTTACGAGGGAGGGTGTTACTCTTGTGCACTGCCAGGGGCTGCCTCATTGGTTTCCACATCTTACTGGACGCTGAACAAATAAGGTGAACATAAAAATCTACTGGACAAGTCAATGTCAAGTTTGTACATTGTATGTGTACTAAGTAAAGTGTGCCAAATAAAATTCTGTGAAGATTCACAATTGCTTGTCCTCATACTTGTGTACCAGACAGACTTATAGAGATTCATGCAACAAACTGCTGGTATACCAAATAAACACATAGTATATAAATATAACAAACTCAACTGAACAAGGACAAAATTTGATGAGTACTAAAGTTTAAACAGTACTATTCAGTATCTATTTAACTAAAGCCTCCCACTACCAATGAGTTACAATACATTCACAACTTAAACAGGATTCATGCAGGAAGTATGCATTCAAGTAACTAAATAATAATGTTAAATGTTTATGATATTTGCTTGATTACATCAAATGACAGCTCCAATCAATTATCCATAATCGAATAGGCATACCATACGATACTTGTCTGGAGATGTATTCACAGTACATAAATATTAAAAACAGAAATTAAATGGCACATTTCTTGAAAATATTAATATAAATGACAAGGCAAATTGAATATCCTGAATTCCTAATATAGAGTCTATCACATGTAGGTATGTGAGTTATAGTTATTCTTTCTGATGATGTAGAATTTGGTTCAGAACAGATATTTTGCTGAGGTTCTGACAGCAAATTCTGGACCCACTATGGGTGTTCCACATGCATGGAACATGTGTATCTTTAATATGCAGAGGTGGCAGAAAAATTTGTTCTTCAGATCTAATTACGACAATCAAAGAAGTACCTGTGCCAGCAATACTAGACAACAGAACACAAGGAACAGAGACAATTTACACATTTAAAAGTGAATAACTTGAAAACAAGCTAATTTCATTTTTACATGCCATGAACTATGGTGCCAATTTTTCCAACCAAACTGTCAATTGAATGTCCAATAGATCAGACCTAAGTCAGTTTTTTCTGACAGATCTTAACTCCCTCCTAGTATGGAGCTCTGACATTGATTGACAGAGCCAGTCAGGATACCAACAGATCAATACAATTTTCCACTACAAATACAAATATCAAATAAACCTTCCATCAATGTTGGAATTCTTTATTCATATAATTTCTCAAAAAAAATCAAAAAAATCTAATAATGATGTTTTCAGTAGTACATTAACTGTAGAAATGCTTCACCGTCCAATTGCATTAAAAAGAGTTTAATTTCACAAAATTAGTGTATTAATTCTTCCCATTTTCCATGTTTTTAATATCACCTAAATGTTTGCCTTGGTTTGGATACAATGAACATAAAAGATAATTGTGATAATTGATAGTTAATCTGTGTTGTATTAAATCATGATTTCCTAATGAAATTAAAACCATGTCTGTTTTCTCATCCACTGTGTTAAACTATAAACCTAAGGCAGTGTGATATTGCCTTCCACTGTAGCATTCTGATCAACA